GAAGCTTTATCCATTTGTTTCCCTTTGTCCATTTGCTTGATTGGCACCAATCCACCATCTTGAATATCCAATCCTTTAACCACCAATCTATAGTGGAGGCAGTGTGTACCATCCACAATAAACACTACTGCCAAGCTCCTTCAACTGCACCTTCCAAACTAGCAACCTCTATCACCAAGAAGGACAAGAACAGCAGATGCATGGGAACACTAGAATACAAGAAATAGCAGCAGGAGTAGGTTATTCAGACCCTCAAGCCTGTCCCACCATTCTACAAGGTCATGACTGATCTGCCCCAGGCTTCATCTTCTCTTTTGTGTCAACTCTTAATAACCCTCAACTCTTTATTTCAAAAGTCTATCTACCCTCAACATTTATCCTGTTAAACCCCTGAGAACTTTGTATATTTGAACAAGATCACCATTCATTCTCTAATGAACAAAATCAAAATTGAATCCATTCTCAATGAATCAACCCTTTCACTCCAGAAATCAGCCGAGTGAATGTCTTTTGAACTGCCTCCAATGCCAAAATATCTTTTCTTAAATAAGGGGACCAGAACTGCACACAGTACACTAGATGTGGCTTCACCAACACCCTGCACAGTTGTAACAAGACTTCTATTTTTAAAGTCTATTTGTCTTCTAAATTACTTGCTGCATCAACTTACAGTGTTCTTGGTTTCATTAATAAGGGCATAGAGTACAAGAACAAAGAGGCAATATTGAACCTTTACAAGACACTTGTTTGACCTCAGTTGGCATATTGTGTACAGTTGTGGGTGGAAGATGCAAATGTATCGAAGAGAGTGCAGAAGCAATTTACAAGAATGAGAAACTTCAATTATGAAGATAGATTGAAGAAGTTGAGACTCTTCTCCTTGCAGAGAAGAAGGCTGAGAGAAGATTTGGTAGAGGTTTTCAAAATCATGTTTGGGACAGGCACTGGCCTAACCAGTGATGCCCACATTCCCTTGAACAAATAATAAAGAAGGGATAATGAGGGGAACTGGTAGCAAAAGCAAAGACATATTTACATCTAAAATTTTGGCATTGCTCATTTGCAAATTGTAGTCCACGGTCTGACACTACAATGTCTGGAATCCTAAGTAAGGAATAAATTCTTTTAATAAATTGGATAACTATATTTGCGGCGATAATAGACATATGTTTAAATTCCATCTATTGTGAATATCAGTCAATAACTATAAGAAAGAATTTCATTTATCGAAAAGAAATCCATGCCCTGATGCTTGCATGGTTTGATGGAAAAGAAGAAGTGTGATTATTTTTATTCTTGGCTATTTACAGCACATTTCATGCAGTTAACAATAATTTCTATATAGTGAGTTTTCCAAAAATTTGAAGTTTTGGAAGAAAGTGAAGTCAAAGTGCTGTCCTTGAAACTAATCTCTTATTGAAGATTATTGAGTCATCAATAACCATGAGGTGTTTGTGCTGTTTAAAGAACTGACATAGTATTAGATGTTTAGCTACGTAGTTTGGCCATTCATCGAGACAATATTTTTAGTCTTGACTACATTCTTTATCGCATTTCTGGTATGTGTTAACTCCTGCAACTTTCTTTCAGTAGTTATTAAGTTCTGAGTGATTGAGAACGTGCAGGCTTCAACCCACTTGACGAACTGTTCATTTCCAGTTGATGGTATCCTTGAGAGTGCATCTGCTATGGTTTGATACTTGCCTTGTACATATTCGGTGATTGAACCATACTTCATAATCTGAACTGTTGAATTCTGAGTGTCACGTTAGCAATTTCTTTCATGTTCACTCAAGTGACCAATGGTTTATGGTCTGTTTCAATTTTGAACTGTAATCTGATAACATAATAAAAATCTTTCCACACGCTCATTTGACAGTTAAAACTTCTTTATCTATCATTATGAAATGCTGTTCTGTCTCTGATAATAATCTAGATGCATAATAAAATTGATCTATGCTTGCCATCTTCCTGCACTTGAAACAGTGCTGCCTCCTGCAGACAATACATTTGCCTACACTATAATCAGTAAATTTACAGAGTGCTAAGATTTCTGAAAATTCTAAAACTTGTTTAATCTTTTCAAAAAATTTTTCTGGTTCATATTCCAGCACCTTCTTTCATCTTGATGCCTTTAGTGTCCAGAAATCATTTATTTCTTTCTTAAATATCTTCAATGATTTGGCTTCCACTCTCTTACTTGGTAAAGAGTTCCACTGGTTCACCATACTTGCAAGTAGTCTGTCCAGCTCTATCAGAATTGTATACATTTCAATGAGATCCTCACTCATTTTTCTAAACTTCAGTGAATACAGGCCCAGAACCAGTCTCTTCTCATTTGACAAACTTGCCATTCCCGGAATCAAGCTGGGGACCCTTCATTATGTTTCCTCTATGAGAAGTACATCTTCGGTAAGGAGACTAAAACTGCACATAGTACTCCAGATGCAATGACATTAAAAACATCAAGACATCCTTTTGGAAGCCTTCTTATAATTAGACCAACTTACCACCTGCCTTCCAAACTGCTCACTGTGTTGCATGTTTGCCTTCACCACTGTACAAATACACCCAGGTCCTTTTGTACATCATCATGTTTTAATTTATCACCATTTCATTAATATTTAACCATTCTATTTTACGTAAGTTCACATTTATCCACATTATTCTGCATCTACCATGCATTTACCAACTCAGTCAATTTGTCTGAATCACCCTGAAGGAATTTCATCCATAAGCCCATTGGATGGGTCTCACAATCCACTGCTTTGTTTAATTGAATTAAACCCATGCAGGCTACTATGGAGATATTTGAATTTAGGACCATAACCGGACCCAAACATCGTCTTGTTCGTATGGTAACTGATGAGATTACTCCTTTTTAATGCATCTTTTCTATTTCAGTTTTAACTTTGTTCAGGAATATACAGATAGGAAGTTGTCTTGGCATGAATAAGCAAATTGATTAGCATCATCTCACAGGGTGATGTGACATCTGACCAAATTTTCTCAATCCTGAGAACCATTTTGGAAATTTGCTTTGAAATTAATTCCTTTGTCCAGCATCAGTTGTCTCATCAAATCAATCTCAGTTTTAAGCATACCTTTCTACTTAGTAGTGGATGTTCTTGATTCTCAATAACAGAGAGATTCAAGGATTTCTTGGTCTTCATTTCTGAGTAGGCCATAAGACATAGGAGCAGAATTAGGCTGTCTGCTCTGCCATTCGATTATGTCTGGTATGTTTCTCAATCCCATTCTCCCGCCTTCTCCTAGGAACCCATGATCCACTTATCAGTCAAGAACATATCTATCTCTGTCTTAAATACATGTAATAACTTGGCCTTCACAACCCTCAGCGGCAATGAATTCTACAGATTAACCACCCTCTGGCTGAAAAAAATTCTTCCTCATCTCAGTTCTAAAGGGTCATCCCTTCACTCTGAGGCTGTGCCCTTGGGTCTCCTCCTTAAATTTACTCAGAGTTCTGACATGCCCTGCACTCTGAAATAGTGAATTCCATTGATTCATGACCCTTTGAGAGAGGCAATTCCTTCTCATCTCTAAAGTGTAGCACTTAGTACTGGATGAATTAGGGTTAGTAGACTGGATGTGTTATTAACCATATGTTGGTCATGCCACTGTAGACCACAACTGCTGAGTATTCATCCTCCCTCCTCAGAGTGCTCTGTAGCTATTCAGTGAAGACCTCGACCCTTGTACTAGAGAGACAGTAATCATTTTGACTTATTTATGCAGCTGCAGTAACATCTGTCTATTTCCCTTACTATCAAAACCACTCTTACAATTGGTTTGAGAATGGGATTCATTCAGGGCTTTCTGTACTAGATGTCTCTTCCTCTGATTTTTCAGTAGTCATTCCCTCTCAACTGCATTCTCCTAAGTTGTGGGGTTATTCTATCAACAAAGCTTTCAATCACAAATTTACTGTAGTGACACCAGCTCCTAATCACGCTACCAAAATCAGAGTTCAAGTTGCTGCTCTTCCACAAATGGCTATCCAGATCCTGCAGATCCCTCATAGCTCATGATGCGCACATGTAAGGTCAGAAAATCCAGCCATTTCTTTATTTATGTACAATCTTTTCTGTTGTTAATAAGTCTTACTAATACTCATAACCCTATGCTGTTAAGAACCTTTACCAATAAATCATTATAACACTTAACGCGCTTTACTCATATTAATAAACTTATTCAGAATTTTAAGGTGAAAGGTAATACTCAGCAGTTACTCACTTGTTATTTCTTATCGTTACTGAATCTTTTCAGTTTCAATCTGCCTGCTGTTTAGACTGGATCTCCTCCCTTTGTGCATCAAATTTTGTTACTCACTCGAATTCCCAAGTTCATACAGAATGTGTTGTTGCACTCGGTGACGAGCTGTTCTCTTTCTACTTAGTGACTTGGTGTGCTTAGTAACACCTCCTGTATTTATTCTAGCCGAAATTCAACTGCCCTGCATCAATACTGCTGGCTAGAAAAAACTAGTTCAAGCTAGCAACCTAATTAACTAACGTGACTGAAAGGAAATTGTAGTTAACTGCTGAAAATACTAGATGAGATCTTAGAAAAAGATGAACACTTAAAAGTTTCCTTACTCAGCAAATTCTCAAGTTCACACTGTGTGTCTGGCTGTACTCAGTGACAAGTTGTTCTCTTCATGCTATAACTATAATAACAATTTGCGTTTTTATAGCACCTTTAACATTATAAAAGGCTATGATGCTTCATGGAAGCTTATCAAATATGGAACCACACAGGGCAGATTTCTAGGAATTTTCAAGGTATGTCTAACAGCAGTAGAGTACAATAATGAACAGAGGGCCTTAGGAAACAAATTCTAGAGCATATGGCCCAAGCAATTGAAGACACAGTTAATAGTGGTGGCGCAATTGAAATCACAACAAAATTAGGTATTTTCAAATTATTATTGTGTTTATAACTTTATAATTAAACATACTTGCTGTCACAATCTACAGGTATTGGAAGTGGTATGTCAGTTCTGGGCCCTGCGTTTGGATATATCTTAGGTGGTCAGTTGCTGGACATTTATATTGATGTCAATAGAATTTCCAAGTAAGTGGATTTTTATTTTCTTGGATTTTTATGTTCTCTGCTTAATTGCTGATAATCAGGAGGTTGACAGGTTGATGCTTAATAAGATAAATCTGCAGCCAAGCCATTTCATGTGATATTGTTACAGGTATTCTTACAGGAGCTTTTTTGAAGTGAATTGTTTTTTGTGATATTTAGCAAAGAAAACAATTTCCATTTCACTGTGCACCATAATGAAGCCTCTGCTTGTCTCCCACTCTTGAATCCATTGTCTTCCTCTTGTTGTCTTCTATTTTATCATGTCCACCTTTTGCTTTGCCTTGGCTAGAATTTCCAACTGTTTAGAGATGACAAAGTAAAAATTTATCCTTCTTTCTTCATATCTCTCTCACACATGAATTTCTCTTGTTATTATCTCTGCATCTCTTTTTCTGTTCCTCTCATCTTCTGTTGTTTTTGCTTTCTTTTTATCCCCATTTCTGCATCTCTTCCATTTGTTATGTGCCCTCAAGCATGTATCCTTTTAATAATATACTTAATTTATAACCCTTACTTCTTTCAAAATTGGCTCATGCTATAACCTGACCTCAGTCAAAACCGGCTTGGAGCTTGGTGCTGATACAAGCAGGAGGGAAGCGTATTTTTGTTGTATAATTAACATCATTTATTTGTTATACTGATGGCTGATACAGATTATATAAAAATAATTATATGTTATGCATTTTGTATATAAGTAATGTGATTTTATTATTCTGAGTTCTGAGGAAAGGTCACCGGACCCAAAATGTTAACTCTGATTTTTCTTTACAGATGCTGCCAAACCTGGTGAGCTTTTCCAGCAACTTCTGTTTTTGTTCCTGATTTTTATTATTAGTTGATTATGAGTCAGTTCAACAGAATTTGTCTTTAATCTTCTTGTCTTACGTACATTCGATTTGATGTATAAAGTGAATGTATACATGCATTTAAAACATTTATTGCTGGTAATTTGTTAATTGGATATTGATTGTGCATTGCTGAAAAAGACATATTTTGTCAAAGCTTTTCATCTTTCACTCATCAGCTCAGATAAAATGTATTATCAAGAAGCGTGAGGTGATGCCTATTGGCCAAAGCAATATAAAGTATTGGTGCAGCCCTGAAGGATGTGTGGGAATAAAGGGATCTGCGCATGCATGTCATCAATCTTGAAGGTGACAGGAAATATTTAGAAGGTGATTAGCAAAATACATAGGATCTTGTGTTTCATAAATAGAAACAATGAGTACAAAAACAATGAAGTTATATAGTGTTTATAAAACTCAAATATGGCTCCAATTCTTATATTATTGTTGATTTCTGGAAACCAGACTTAAGAAAGGATACAAGAGTCATTAAGAGTGTGCAGAGAAGATTTACTACAATGGTGTGAGAAAGGAGAGATTTTGTAACAACATTAGATTGAAGAAACTGGGATTGCTCTTCTTAAAGCAAAGAAGATTGAGTGGAAACTTGTCGAAGGCGTGTAGGATTGCAACAGGTTTGGGTAAGGTAGACAAAGAAGGGAATGTGAGGAGGAATTCTCTTATACAATGAGGATAATAACCTTGAATTTGCCAAATGGTGATAGTGATAACAATCAATGATTTCAAAATGGAATTGGATGAGCATTTGAATGAAATTAATTTACAAGGCTACAGGGATAGCAGGAGAAGTCGGATTAACTAGATTATTTCAAAGACAGCCAGCATAAAATCAACAGACTGAATTGGCTCTTCCTATTACAGCACTAACTCCAAAGGGTTGATTTTACACCAGCAAATTGGATGCAATGTCCTCTGCACTCTCGGGTAAAATTTGGCAGGATGATGTTAGGTCAGCAATTCAATGTCACGATTCCACTCTCCTACAACACAGAAGGTGTGTGGACGCTGGATTTGGGATTTTACCTGTTTTGTTTTAAAAAACTAAAGATCAATGGAGCTTGTTAACTACTAACTGACTAATTTTAGGTTTATCACTTCAGTTTTTGTTAGGTGCAAGGGAAAATATTGGAAGTGAGTCTCACCAGGTAAGAGGAGGTGGTGCAAGAGTGGTTAAACCGTTGCACATTTAGCCGTGGAATCTATTGGTGAAAGTGGCATCTTAATGTCTGTTTTTATTTTTGAAGAAATGAAGTGATGTTTTCAGCCTGAGAAGAAAGAGTGGGGTGTCTCTGTACAGGGACATGGTAAAGTTTAATGACTCCTGTATTTCAGCTGGAGCTCTTGGTCCCTCATCAGGTCTATGATCTCTGGAAGAGGCTGTTCCTCCACTGTGAAGAAAAGAAGGAGTAAAGGAAAAGGAGACAGTGGAGAGCAGCTGTCCAGGGATGTTTGTATCATGTAGCCCAGCAGTTGAGGGTCCTGTTGCTGCACGTAGGCCAATAGAACACAGACCACAACAGCAGGTCGGCTAAAATAGGGAGAAAATGCTATCCTATCCAGACACAGCGTTCAGGCAAAGGGTGACCTACCTTCAGCTGTCAGAACATCAGAACCTTCCCAGATTGGGTTTCTCCGGAAGTCAGTGACATCCCTCTGTGAAATACTTGTTGGGGAGATTAATTTAAATTGCATTTGTGGCCTTTCTCTATTGCTGCTGCTCTCAAGATAACAATTCCCTTGAATTTTTATGCACCACATTGATTGCAGGAAAAGAGAGCCCTTTGCAGAATTCTCAAAATACAGCAGATGGTTGCATCAAGGTGGTGACAGTTGCATTAATCATAGACACAGATCAGTGATCCTTATGTCCTTTAGCCTGGGATGATGTTGACAGATGTCCTCTGGTTGTGAGGTCCTTGCCAAAGTGGGGGGGTCTCATCTGCTGCAGTACGCTGAGGCATTTGTGTTAATTACAGAAAGGTGGAGGAGATGTCCATTTCAGGACTGTCCCAAGAATGCTCCATGATTGAGATAGCTGCTCCTCATTCATCATCCTAAGGCTCATTTCACACTCACTCTGTAAGGATTTGAGTGTGAACCCTTTTGAGGCTCCCTCCTTCTCCTCAAAACTTAAAGTTGGTCCCTTAGGCTGGAGCCTGCAGTTCTGAGGTTTCTATTCCTTTTATTCATTTATGGGATGTGGGATCACTAGCAAGGCATCCCAATCGCACTGGAGAAGGTGGTGATGAGTTGTCTTCATAAACCGTTGCAGTCCATGTGGTCTAGGGACATCACAGTGCTGTTAGAAAGAGAGTTCAAATATTTTGACCCAGTGATATGAAAGATAATTCATATATTTCCTAGTCAGGTTGGTGCTTGGTTTGGAGAGGAAGACGTAGATGATGTTCCAATGCATCCAATGCCTTTGTCCTTCTGGGTGGGAAAGGCGCTGTCAGAGGACGTTGGTGTGGAACTCGAGTTCATCTTGTGATGGTACGTACTGTGCCACTGTGTTCATTGTTGAAGGCAATGAATTTTGAAGACGGTGATGTGGTGCCAATCAAGTGGCCTGCTTTGTCCTGGATGGTGTCAATCATTTTCAGAGTTGTTGGGGCTGTGCTCATCAAGGCAAGTGAGATTCCTGACCTGTGCCTTGTAGATAGTTGATAGGCATTTGAATACAGGCGGTGAGTTATTTATTACCTTGATAGGCATTTGGGGACAGGCGGTGAGTTATTTATTACCTGGATAGGCATTTGGAGACAGGCGGTGAGTTATTTATTACAAAATTCTTGGCCTCTGACCTGTTCTTGTACCCACAGTATTAATACAGATTGTTCAGTTCAATTTCTGATCAATGGTAACTGCTAAAATGTTACATTTAATGTTAGAACTGCTAAATTGGGAATTTAGTGATGGTAATGCTGTCGAATATCAGGGGAAGATATTTAGGTTTTCGCTTGTTGGGGATGGTCATTATCTGTTATTTGCCACTCATCAACGTAAGTCTGGATGTTGTCCAGGACTTGTTGCATAAAGACTCAAATAGTTTCAATATCTGAGGAGTCACGAATGGTGCTTAAACATAATATAATCATCAACAAGCATCCCACTTCTGACCTTTTGATGAAAATGAGGTTATTGATGAAGCAGCTGAAGAATGATTAAGTCTAGGACATTAGCCTGAGGAACCCCTGCAGTGATTTCCTGAGACAGATGATTGACCTCCAATAACCACAACCATATTGCTTTGTTCCAAGTATGACTCCAACCAGGGAAAGTTTTCTCCCTGATTCCTGTTAACTCTAAATAAAATAAAAACTGTAGATGGTTGAACTCAGAAACAAAAACAGAAATTGCAGAAATAATTTGCAGGTCTAGCATTTGTGGAGAGAAGGCAGAGTTAATGTTTCAGGTCCAGTAACTCTTCAGAACTTATTGTAGCCAGGATAAGGTTGGTACATATGCTGAAGATAGCAGGCAACCCAGATCTGGTTGTCTGCTGCTTCAACACGCCATTGGGTTCCCTGGCCAACATCTCTGTCTCAGGCTTGCTGCACTGCTCCAGCAAAGCTCAGGGCAAACCGGAAGACCAGCATCTCATTTTCCACTTGGGGACCGTACTGACTTCAGGAGTCAATACAAAGTTCAATCATTTTGGGACCTGATTGCCTTCTCCCATGTCCTTACCCCAACACCCATGAATCGCACCTTGACATCGCCATGGCTGTTACCACAACCAACCCATTGTCAGCTACTAATCGTCCCCATTACTAGCTATTGATTCTCCTAGGCTGACCATTACCCATTCCTTTGCTGACCAACCACTGTTCTCTTTCTCTAGGCTCCATCCCTACCTATTGTTTACTCCAATCCTTCCCCCCACCCACCCTACCTTCAGCATATATATCTTTTCCTAGCTATAATCCTTCTTTATTTTCAACTAGAAAGTCAATTTTTATTTTTATCATCTACACATTTCTTAATCATATCCTTGCAGTCAAATTAAAATCAATACAAATGCTACAAAAACCAAGAGACAAAAGACCATTCTCCAGAAGCCTATTGATTGGTTGATTTATTGATTGATTGATTTATTGTCGCATGTATTTTATTACAAACACAGTGAAAAGTGTTGTATAGTGTTGCTACTCTTCAGTGCCATCATAAAACACAGAAAATAAACCAGAACACAGAATATAAAGGAAATAAAAGCAGTAAAGTTCAACTTTACATTTCCTTCTTGTTAAACAGCATTCCAATCACAAAAGCATCCATCAACTATCTGAACCATGTACCTTCTTTCTTAAATAAGGCCAAAACTGTACATGGTTTTGGAGGGTGCTGTCGAAGGCTCCTTGGTAAGTTGCTTGTATTGTACCCAGGGTCCCCCATTGTAGCTTCCTATTAATGAAATGCAACATGTCAGATGGCGTTGAGTTGCAAATGGATGAACAAATTATAATGAGGCTCTGCTGTCAACATCCGCAGGATATCTACATCTATTGAGCGACACAACTGCAATTTGCTGCATTCTCCCTGCCTGCTGCTTCTTGCCAGTATCTTTTGTTTTCATTTCAATAACATATTGCTAAAGTAATTAAATATTATAGTGAAGGAAAGATTTAGTATCATGTTGTAATATGATATGATGAGAAGGCCTTGGTAGAATACTGCAGCAAACCTTTTTGAGCTCATCTAAGAGCTCCCTATAGACTGTGGTAAAGGATGAATCACAAATAGGTCTCAGCAGAAGAGGCTCATGGCCTTCACAATAGGATGCAATTTACTCCATCTCAAAATATAGACACATTGACACATTAACTATTATGAACAGGAGGCAGGCATTACATATGAGTCTCCATGAGGAGACTTCAACTACTGTCTACATGAGCTGCCTAAGAGTATCCAAACTATGCTGAACCCAGACTGGCTGATGCTGTACCCAGTGCCTGTACCCAGACATCAAACCGAATGGAGATTATTCAGATTAACCCTTTCATATTCATTCCCTTATACAACATGCCATACCTTTAAAATAGCCTTATGAAGATTCTGTGTTGAAAAGATTAAAATCTTTTAAGATTAAAATCTTAACCTTATATTTTAAATGAAAATTGCATACAGCTAGCTAGGAAAGATAGCCGGGCCCATGTGGAGCAGTGGTAGTTTACCTGCCTCTGAGTCAGGAGGCCTGACTTCAAGTCCTACTTCCTGCAGAGGTGGATAATAACATCTCTGAACAAATTGATCAGGAAAATGTCTATAATTGATTGAGTGAGCAAATGAGATAACCAACAGAAGAAAAAAAGAACTCCCATTACACAGAACAAATGACATTGTGCACACTGTCAGAGGGTCACCAGCGTGCTGGGAAATAGCAAGATTGAGAGCAAAGATGCAATTACATGGGGCAGCATGGTGGTTCAGTGGTTAGCACTGCTGCCTCACAGCGCCAGGGACCCCGTTTCAATTCCACCCTCGGGCATCTGTCTATGTGGAGTTTGCACATTCTCTCCGTGTCTGCGTGGGTTTCCTCCGGGTGCTCCGGTTTCCTCCTACAGTCCAAAGATGTGCTGGCTAGGTGGATTGGCCATGCTAAATTGCCCGTAGTGTTCAGGGATGTGTAGATTAGGTGGGTTATAGGGGGATGGGTCTGGTTGGGATGCTTCAAGGGTCGGTGTGGACTTGTTGGGCCGAAGGGCCTGTTTCCACACTGTAGGGATTCTAAAAAAAAATGTTAGGAGAAAATCAAAAGAAAAAGAAAGCGTCACTGAATGAAATGAATTGTACTGCATATATTGTCAGTCTTACCTATTATGGCCCTGAAATGATGATAGAATCATAGAATCCCTAGAGTGTGGAAACAGGCCTTTCGGCCCAACAAGTCCACACCAATGCTGACAGCACCTGACCCAGACTCATCCCCCATAATCTACACATCCCTGAACACTATGGACAACTTAGCATGGCCAGTGCATCTAACATGCACGTTTTTGGATGAGGCAGCATTGATAGCCACTGTGATACCGTGCCTCCCAAGCTAGAAAAAGAGAGGTCTTTACTACTTGTTGAGATTGAAAAGGAAGAGAAGGAAAAGAATTGGTACTATGCGCAACTTCAAAATCTCACCAAGACGATTGATAATCTCCCTCTCACAGAAAATGTAAGTTAAGTTGAATTTCTGCTGATTGTATCCACAGGGTGGGGGGCACGGTGGCTCAGTGGCTATCAATGCTGCCTCATAGTGCCAGGGACCCAGGTTCAATTCCACCCTCAGGCAACTATCTGTGTCAAGTTTGCACATTCTCCGTGTGTCTGCGTGGGTTTCCTACCACAGTCCAAAGACGTGCATGTTAGATGCATTGGCTATGCTAAGTTGTCCATAGTGTTCAGGGATGTGTGGATTATGGAAATAGCCATTGTTTGTCCAAAGGAAGGGGTCTACTGACTCCTACTTTGGAATCTCCAACATATGAAAGAACTGTTGTTTCCCTCCTCTTTTTCTGATCATACCTTCAAACACCACTCATCTCTGAAACTGTAAAAATCACTCTCCACGAGCACAGTAGTAATCATTTCGATCCAAATTTGGATGTCCTTTTGATGATACTACCCATTACAGTTTTTGAGAAGATTTGTAGCTCGGATTGTTTATGCGGTTGTTGACTTGCTCACCGAGCTGGTAAGTTTGTTCGCAAACGTTTCACCATGCCAGGTAACATCATTAGTGCGCCTCCGGTGAAGTGTCGGTGTTCTGTTCTGCTTGTTATTTATGTGGCTTGGTTTGTTGGGGTGGGTGGTATCACTTCTAGATTTGTTTCTTAGTGGTTGGTGTATGGGGTCCAACCCTACATGTTTGTTAATGGAGTTCTTGTTTGAGTGCCAGGCCTCCAGGAATTCTCATGCATGTCTTTGCTTGGCTTGTCCTAGGATGGCTACGTTGTCCCAGTAGAATTGGTGTCTCTTTTTGTGCATGTGTATTGACCCTAAGCCAAGGCCTAGTGTCCACATCACCAAGTAAAACCTGGCAACCTTATTGGCCAGTTTGTGTTGCCTCTTATTCAGGGCCCTAATTGCCCAACAGATGTTATCGGCCTTCCTGCATCTTCGCTCAACTTCTACCATGATGAACTTGCCCCTTTCACTGGGGCCTGCAAGCCAGGGCCAGGCAAAATCCTGAACTTGCCTTTAAGTCAGAGTCGATGGTTTTTCTTTTCAGAGACCCAGAGTGACTGCCACTCCCAATGACTCAGACTGGAGATGCAACACCGATTTGATTGGGGTGGAGTCTCAGAGGCTATACATCAGTCAGGTAGCAGGGACTGTGTCACAATGAAAGATTCAGGAATGAAATCCCTTGGCAGAACAAAAGAAAGAACCAACAGAATTGTTCAAAATTGACGAGCATTGAGCATTATATTATATAGTTCTTGTTTTATATGCTTCTATAATGTAAAATTGGGATATTATCACAACGTTCTGATGATAAAACATTGAATTTAATTTTTAGAGTTCCTTTGATGCCAGATGACCCTCGATGGCTTGGTGCTTGGTGGATTGGGTTTCTTCTCTGCTGGATACTGGCCTGGTGCCTAGTTCTACCTCTGACTTGTTTCCCAAAGCACTTACCAGGTAAATCTCATAATTAATTGATTTCAAACACAAAAAATACCTGTTCATTGCAAGACAAAACTGTCTGAAACCAATCGTGAAGTGCTACAGAACACCGACACTTCACCGGAGGCGCACTAATGATGTTACCTGGCATGGTGAAACGTTTGCAAACAAACTTACCAGCTCGGTGAGCAAGTCAACAACCGCATAAACAATCCGAGCTACAAATCTTCTGCCCACCTATACATTATTATGAAGTGTGCTTTAGATCGGGCATTGAAAAACATGGAAGAAAATGATGGAAAGAGTGATCAAACGGACTAAGAACTTGGATAACTGAGTTTAAAACCATATTATTCATTTATATTTCTGTGTGTAGATTCAGTTTATAGAATTAAATGATGCAGTGGACAACGAAGAAGGTTACCTCAGAGTACAATGGGACCTTGATCAGGTGGTCCAATGGGCCAAGGAGTGGCAGATAGAGTTTAGATAACTATGAGGTGCTGCACTTTGGTAAGGCAAATTGGGGCAGGACTTATACACTTAGTGGTAAGGTCCTGGGAAATGTTGCCGAATTAAGAGACCTTGGAGTGCAGGTTCATAGTTCCTTGAAAGTGGAGTCACAGGTAGACAGGAAGTAAAGAAGGCATTTGGTATGCTTGCCTTTATTGGTCATTACATTGAGTTATAGGAGTTGGGAGGTTGTGCTATGGCTGTACAGGACATTGGTTCAGCCACTTTTGGAATACTGCGTTCAATTCTGGGTTCCCTGCTATAGGAAAGATGTTGTGAAACTTAAAAGTGTTCAGAAATGATTTAGAAGGACTTTGCCAGGGTTGGAGGGTTTGAGAAATAGGGAAAGGCTGAATAGGCTGGGGCTATTTTCCCTGGAGCATTGGAAGCTGAGGGGTGATGTTATAGAGGTTTATAAAACCATGGGCGGCATGGATAGGTTGAACGGTCAAGGTCTTTTTTCGAGGGTGGTGGAGATCAAAACTAGAGGGCATAGTTTGAGATGAGAGGGGAAAGATTTAAAAGGGATCTAGGGGGTAACTTTTTCATGCAGAGGGTGATGCGTGTATCGAATGAGCTGCTGGTAGAAGTGGTGGAGGCTGGTATAATTACAACATTTAAAAGGCATCTGGATGGGTATATGAATAGGAAGGGGTTAGAGGGATATGGGCCAAATGCTGGCAAGTGGGACTAGATTAATGTAGAATATCTGGTCAGCATGGACGAGTTGGACCAAAGGGACTGTTTCCATGCTGTATGATTTTATGTACTTTGTCCAATAGGAAAGTGACCTATAATGATCCAATTGACTTCAAATTTTCCTGGGCTCCTTGATGTAAATGATATATTTTGGTGATGTGATCTGCATGGTTGAATTGTTGAAGTGCATACCAACTGTGATGTGTGGTGTGAGATGATCAGTTAAACCATTTGAATGGGAGAAGTAGGTTATAATTGACAAGGATTTTCAATAGATTAGTGATGGAGATGTAATGAATTTATTAGTGAGTGAGACTATTACTACACCTGGTAGAATGGTATTTGATGATGAACTCTGACTTTGCTAACTCATGTGGATTATTCAGCTTCCTTCTACATTGCATTCAGGTTTTCCCAGCTGGCATTGACTTCTATTGGTATCTCTTTAACATGTATCAGCAATTCCTCCTACCATCTGATGGTACAAGACGTCTTTCCTTTGCTTTAGTCTCCCACAAGACCTCTAGTACAACATGAAAAAACTTGGTGCTAACTCTTTATCATGGTCAGGCTTTGTTGAATCTTCCACAGCACACTTGAAAAAACAGCCGCAAATTAACTCCTCTTTAAGGGCAGCAGAGTGACTTTAAACAACACTAGGCAATCATGCTAATAGGCCTCTTGCTGACGCATGCAATCAATGAACAGTGTACAAGGTACCAGTTGCATGCAGCAATCAACTTCCTACACTGCAGTCATCAAGCACAGATTAATTGCACATGTTGGTCGTTGTGCCTATTATCCAATTTAGCCCTCACTATCCTAAGTATGTGTTCAGCTTTCATTTTCTAAACTTTACCTCAATCCTCTGCTGATTAGATAACTATTTCATCTAATATCTGCAATTGCTTATTACAATCACCCCAAAATATTTTTGTAACTGAGCTGATGGGCAAATACAAGGCTCATCATACATGCTAATTTAGTTACTGTTCTGGTTGCCCTGCTATAAGGAAGGATATTATTAAATTGGAGAGAGTTTAGAAAAGATTTACCAGGACGTTGCCAGGAATGGAGGGTATGAGTTGTAAATTTAAGCTGAGTGGGTTGGACTTCTTTCACTGGATCGTAGAAAGTTGAGGGTGACCTTATAGAGGTTTATAAAATCATGAGAGGCATAGATAAGGCGAATAGCAAGGGCCTTTAGCCTATGATAGGGAGTTCAAAACTGGGGGACATATTTTTCAGGTGAGAGGAGAAATTGTTAAAAAGGACATGAGGGGCAACTTTTTTTTACACACAGAGGGTGGTTTGTGTGTGGAATGTACTACCAGAGGAAGTGTAGATGCAGGTAGTTATGACGTCTAAAAGATTTGCAGGAATACGGGCCAAATGGAGGCAAGTGGGACTAGTTTAGTTTGGGAACATGGTCGGTGTGGACTAGTTGGACCGAAAAGCCTGTTTTCAGTCTAAGTCCGTCCCTCATTGGATCTTGACATTAATAATGACGAATTGTATCCCTAATATTAATAATACATGACATTGTGAAAGGTATTATAACAAAAATGCCTCAGGTGATATGAGAAATAAAATTTCTTTGGAGCATAATTTTGTTTAAATACTTGCTGTCTTGCAACTTAACAAATAAATAGTGCACTTTTACACTTACATATTTACAGGGATATCAAGAATTGATTTCAAATTCACTATTAAACAGTTTAACATTAAGAGAACGATTGCTGAAAAGGTAGGTTTCTGTATGTAACTTATGAGCATATGTCTCAGTAACCAGAAATAAATGTAGCAGAGAGGATGCAATCTAACCAAACTACTGTACAGTTGCATTATGACTTATTTCAATTATTGTTCTGTTTGTTTTGATCATTTAGTTAAACATTCTGCAACCAATATGCAGCCTCATGGCTCAGCATATCTCATACTTTACCATTACCGCAAAGCCAGAGGATCTATCCTGGTTCAAAAAGGAGTGCAGGAGACCAGGCCAGATACAGTACCAGGTTTACTCATAAGTCAACCTGGTGAAGCTACAAAACAAGACTACTTGCCTCCCAAACAGCATAAGCAGCAAGTGATAGGCAGGGCTAAGTGATTTCACAATAAACTGATCAGACCTAAGCTCTGCAGACCTGCCACATCTAGTTGTAAGTGGTGGTGGGCAATTAAACAACTTGCTGGATGAGGAAGCTCCACAAATAACCCCATAACCAAAGATGGGGGCGTCCTGCTCATCAGTGGAAAAGGCAGAAGTATTCGTAACAATCAGCAGCTAGAAGGGCTGAGTGGATGATCCGTCTTGGCCTCCTCCAGAGGTCCCCAGCATCACTATTCTTCAGCCAATTCAATTCATTCCACATGATATCAAGAAATTGCTGGAATCTCAAGATATTGCTACATTCCAACAATTGTACATAAGGTGTGTGTTCCAGAATGTGCTGCATCCTTAGCCAAGTTCCTCCAGTAGTGCTATAACACTGACTGCTGACTAAATGGACAATCACCAGATATTCCATAAAGACAAAAAGCAGGATAAATTAAACCCAACCAATTACCATCCCGTCAGTCTTCTCTCAATCATCAGTAAAATGATGGAAGATGTCATCAAGAAGCACTTGCTGGGCAATAATCTAGTCAATGGCACTCAGATGGGTTCCACCAGGGCCACTCAGTTCCCGACTTCATTACAGATTTGATTGAAACCTGGACAAAAAAGTTGAATTCTAGAGATAAGGTGACATTTGACTAAGATTGGTAACAAGGGGCCCGAGCAAAACTAGAGTCAATGGGACCTGGGAAGAAAACTCTCAACTGGGTGGAGTCATACCTAGCAGGAAGATGGGTATGGTTGTTGTACATCAATTATCGCAGCTCTAGAACATTTGTGCAGGAATTCATCAGGGTTGTGTTTTAGGCGCTACCATCTTCACTTGCTTCATCAATGACTTCCCCTCCATAAGGTCAGAGCTGGGGATATTCACTGATAATTACACAATGCTTAGCCATTTGTTTCCTCTCAGGTACTGAGGCAGTGCATGTCCAAATGCAGCAAGACCTGGTCAATATCCCGGCTTGAGTTGAAAAATGACAAGTGACTGTAGTGCCACATAAGTGCCAGACAATGACCATCTCCACCAAGAGAGAATCTAAACTTTCCTCCTTGATACGAACTGGATTAACCATATAAATATAGTGCATACAACAATAGTTCAGAGGCAAGAAATCCTGCAGTGAGTAATTCACCTTCTCAAAGCCTACTCATCATCAATAAAGGACAAGTCGGGACTGTGATGGCATACTCGCTACTTGCCACCTGAGTGCAGCTCCAACAATACTGAAGACATTTAACATCATCCAAGACAAAGAAGCCTGCTTGATTGGCACTACATCCACAAACATTTACTCCCTTCATCACTGACACTCAGTAGCAACAGTATTTTCCATCTACTAGATGCAAAGATTCTCCAAGGCTCTTTAGCACCTTCTAAATCCAAAACCACTACCATCCAGAAGAACAAGAGTTTCAGATACGTGGGAACACCGCAACTTGCAAGTTGCCTCCAAGCCAATCTCCATTCTCAAATTATATTATCTTCCTTCATTGTTCCTGGCTGAAAATCCTGGAACTCCCTTCCTAACAGCATTGTGGGTCTACCTACAGCACATGGACTGCAGTGATTCGAGAAGGTAGCTCACCACCAAGTTCTCAAGGGATTAAGAATGGGCAATAAATCTAGCCAAGGCAACAATACCCACATCTAGTGAATGAATAACAAAATAAAACTATG